ATTACTTTAAAACGTAGGGAGAAACACAAAAACCTGAAGAAAATAGAAGTGAATTCTTAGTAAAACTCTGGAAGAAGGAAGGCTCTGAAAGCTTAAGAGATAGAACAAAAACAAATTATAAGTGGTCTATACGAAAACTTTGAATTTTCTTTGAATTTTTGTACGTGAACTATTACAAATAAAAAACAATTTCTAAAAATATTTGCAACAAATGTAACAAAAAGTTAACATTTGTAACACGTAAAGGACTCATTCAAGTAATTTAAAATCACACTGTTGCCTGTGTAAAGGGTATGAATGTTAAAGTGAGGAGAGCCAAAAATAGTACCAAATTAGCAAGTATTTTGAAAAAGAAATACTTGCTGATAAGTATGCAGCGTGTCAGTATGCGTCAGGGTTCATGAAAATATTCATAGCCCAGTAATTCCATTTTTTTAAATTAAATGAAATACTAATACAGAAAACAGTTTCATCTTTTTTGATTGTTCATTCAACAAATAGTTTTTAAAGAGAGACTCTGCAAAATCTCTAACTTGTCGGGAGGGCGATAACCTTAAACAGTCCACAGTCAGGCCCGGGGCATTTAAATGCAGAGTAACTGGTTTAGATGCAGTTGTAATGAGCTCCCGAGGAGGGAGGATGAGGCCCTTAGTGTGGGATGGTCCCTTTCAGTGACAGCCAGAGACACTGTAGCTTATGTAAACTCGCTACAACAAGGCAGTCGCTAGTCAGATTTAAAGACCTTCTCTGGGGGCTGTAACAAGAAAGCGCTCTAGACGATGGGGTTCAGATGAAACTGATTCCCCCGTGCTGACCAAAACCAGCCCAGAGTCTAAGGAAACAGGCATTTATCCGCAGTTCCATTTCAGCGATGGGACTTCGGTAAATTTTTTTCCTTTATACTTTTTTGTATTTCTCAAATCTTGATGAAAACGTAGTTTTCATAGTGAAGATTATAAAGATACACACCCACATGTACACGACTCACGATTCTGAAGTCTTTGAGAGAAGCATCAGTGTCGTTATGTGTGTCCACATAAATGACACGTCCTGAGCCGCTCAGTGACCCTCCCTGCTGACACAGCGCACTGCACCTTGTGTGAGAAGCACCGGGCTCTCATTGCGACCCCTGCTTTGCTGTCTTTCAGAGACTGGACCCTGCGACGATGAAGAAGCTGCAGACCGCTGAAGAGATCGGTGTGCCCGTGTCCAGGAACGGCTCGGCGCTGAGCCTGAAGTCCCAGAATGGATACGTCCCTCCAAAGCCACCCTCGGGATCCCCTTCCCCCAGACTCCCCAAAACCCCCACACACCTGCCGACTATTCTGGACGAGCCTGGAAAGAAAGTCAAGAAATCAGCTCCCCTACAGTACTTCTCACCCCTCAAAGCTTCTCAGGGGCTCCACGGTGCCCGCGACCCGAGCAGGTGTGAGGGCCGCAGGCCGGGCGCCATCACTACCTCACCCCAGGTCCCGGCCGCAGTGACTGCCAATGGGCACGGGCCCAAGGGTGCCACCGAGAAGGGGGACTCCAGCAGCTCCAGCCCGGAGCACTCCACCAGCAGCGACCCCGCCCAGGTGCCCAAGAGCGGAGCCCGCGTCTGTGACCCTCAGGGAACCTCCCCTTCCGCCACCGGCCCCTCCAGAGCGCTGCCCAGTGGAGAGGACACGAAGGTGGCGAAGCCGAGGTCCCCCGTCCTGAGCAGCGCTGCCACCGAGCCCGCAAGCACCATGTCTCCTCCACCAGCCAAGAAGCTGGCCCTCTCTGCCAAGAAGGTGGGTGTGTGTGGGGGGTCCCGCCCTTGGCAGCGTGTCAGCAGGGTCTTGGTTTGGGGGAGCAGGAAGCTGGGCCTCCCCAGATCCAGGGGAGCAGCTGTGTCAGGCCTTCTGCAGGTGACAGGGGCTGTCCCGGGATGAAGGTGGGGTTCAGGAAACTGATAACCTGGTGTCACTACGTGCGGCTGATGCAGGCTTGGGGCGTGATGGCAGGTCTCCCTGGCCCCCTGTGGCATCTCCTAAAGGAGCCTCACGGGAGGACGGGACGGGGCGGGGTGGCGGGCCTGGCAGGGGCTCCGCACAGGGCCTGCAGGTCGCAGGCAGCGGGCCCCCCACGTCCAGCACGGATTGGTCGTGCTGAGATTTTTGTTGAAATTTCTTTCCTTTTTTCCTTTTCGTTTCTAACCAAAAACACTTCTGATTCTTCTCCTACCATCCCCCACCCCTCGCTTTCCGTTTCTCCGCCTTCTGCCCCCGCATTCTGCTTTCTGGGCTGTTTTATTTATTTCCGGTTTCTTTATTTTGTTTTTTTTTGTTTTTTTTTTGTTTTTTGCATTTGCTTTCCCTCTTCACTCACGGCAACCTTTTTTAGACCACCAAGTTTTTATTTATGTCGATAACTGCAGGCCAGCACCCTGCGGAGGGCGGCCGGCAGTGACCTCCGTGCTCCTCCCCTCTCCGGCCTCACCCACCCCAGGAAAGCCACTCACCCCGCCGTCGCCTGCACCTGGCCTGTCAGCACAAGCAGGTAAGCGCGGGCCCTCCCGGCCCAGCGGCCTCCCCCCCGCACCCCCGCGCACGGCTGGTGGAGAGCTGCAGGGTGGTCGCCCGCGGGACGGGACAGGTGCAGGGCGCGGTCCCGCAGCAGGCCCCCCTCTCTGCACCTGGTCAGGGAGCCGGCTGCTCAGGGGCACTCGGTCGCCCCGGTGCTCATTCTTTTCCCTTCGTCTTCGTTTTCCGTCTGCGTGCCACCTCCACGTGGTGACTCTGCTGTGCTGTGAACTGACCTGTCCCGTGGCCGCTCCCCAGCCCCAGGACAGGACCCCACAGTAGGAGAGAAGGGCGGGAGCTCCAGGCAGACCCCGAGTGGGCTTAGGGGCCTGTGCATTCGGTGAGGGGCGTCCCTGAGTGGAGCGGGCTCTGTCTCCTTCGCCCCCAGAGCCTCCCTGCGTGGGGACCGTCCCTGGTGCCGTCTGCTTCGCGCGGGCTTCTCTAGCAGGCCCGCGGTTCACTGGGTGCTGCGGGATCTCTGGCCTCTGGCGGACACCCTCCCCTGAGGGCCGGGTCCCCTCCCCGCGGCCTGGCAGGCACTGCTGTGCTCACCTCCCTTCGTGTGTCGAGTGGCAGAAAGCTGAGGACTGATATGTCTGAGGGGCCGTCGAGGCCTTTGGCTTCCAGGGTGGAAGAAAGGAAGATGGGGCGAGGCCAGCAGGAGCTTTGGGCAGGTCTGGTGTTGGCCGTGGGCGCGGACGTGCCCTCCCCGTCCCTCCCGCGCTCCGGGGGTGCTGTGGACCGCAGGGCCCCTCACCCTGCGCCCCGCGGCCGCTCCCTCTCCCACTCCCACGCCGACGTACTGAGCCCAGGGCTTTTGCACATGGCAGGTCCTTAAACATTGAAGGCATTTATTTTCTCTTTGCTTCTTTGGCATATAGGCTTTTTCTTAATCCCAAAAAATGCAGAGTAATAAGTTGTGGCACAGTTTGGCCATGGTAGCTCGTTCTGGTCTGGGAGGTGACGATGGCAGTCCTGTGTGACACGGTAACCCTCGGTAGGAATTAACGTCAGTCATTCACGAATAAGAGAGCCCCGGCTCCCAGTGCGTGGTGAACCATCCCCAGGGCACACAGCCAGCGAGACACAGGTCTGAGTCCAACCCACGGACATCGGATGTCGTGGCTCTAAGTCCCACCCTCGTTCATCTCGCTGTGTGATCCGCAATGCGACCTGTTTCCCTGATTTCCCTGGACCCCCCAATTCAGAGGGAAATCAAAGGGAAACCCTGGTGGGGGTGCAGGCCCGCACGCACCTCCTGTCGAGGCCCCGTGCTGAACACTGGGGTACGAGTGGCGGCTGGGAATTTATTGCTGGCGAAGCCTTCCCCTCTTAACACGTCTGTAATGAACCTTACAAGCGTCAGAGTTTGCGACAGTGCTCTGAACTGCTTGGTAGCAGGAAGCTGAGAGACGTATGACAGTTTTCGTTAACTTTGACGTTAGCAGATATGAGTTTACTGTTAGCCTGTGTGTCTGGGATTCACGGGGGAGGGAGAGGCCTTTGCCTGGAGGGAGGGGGCGGAGGGAGGGGGCTGAGGGCGGTTCCAAGCGCTGCCTGCAGCTGACACCTGACTGTCCCCACAGGGCTCTTTCACCGGCTCCCCGATCATCCGGCCATCTGAAGCCCCCCCTCAGCCTGCACTCTGTGACAGTGCCCAGCAGCCCCCAGCCTCTCAGGACATCGGGCCCACGGAACCCTTTCACCTCTGCTCCCCTGCCTCAGGTCAATGGGGGCTTCGGGGCCCCTCCACACCAGCCGCCGGAGGCCGACGAGCCTCCCAGGAGCCCGTGCAAGAAGAGGAAGAGGAAGCGCTCGGCGGAGACGCGGGGGCAGGGCTCGGAGGTGGGGGAGGCGGCCGCCCCTCCCGGGAGGAGGAGGAGGAAGAGGAGGAAGCGCCCGGGGGACACGGACGCCGCCCCCCCGCAGGAGGGGCAGCCACAGGGGCAGCACCAGGGCCCTGAGCACAGGAGCGAGGGCCGGGCACAGCTGGGGGAAGAGGGCAGACGGCCACCGGCACACGGCCCGCGCCTGGAGAACGGCTGGCAGGCGGGCTGCGGGACGGACGGCCCCCACGTGAGCCCCAAGAAGAGGAGGAGGAAGGGAGCGGAGGGCCCGGGCGGAGAAGACCGCCTCCACCAGGACCCACCTTGGCACAGGTGAGGCAGCCCTGCCCCCGCCGACACCCGTCCACTCCCGGGCAGGTGTCGTCTGCATGTGCCGTGTGCCCACTGGCCTCTCGATTGCGAGCGTGTCATGGTGTGCCCAGGCCGGGCCAGGCTCCGCGGTCACGGCACCCAGTTTGTGGCACTCGATAGGGTCAGGATTAGAACGGTAGCTGTGCTCGCGCCCCTGACGTCGCTCGAGCCTGACCGTGACCATCCGGCATGCTCCATCCTGCAGGTTCAGGCAGCCGTCGTCAGGCAGGCTCTTCTGCAGCATTGGGGTGTGTGCTGACGGGGTGGGGTGTCTCAGCCTCAGAGCTTGGAGCTGACCGTCGAGTCTGATCTCCCGCAGCTGCTCTCCCTCGGACGTCACGGAGCCAGAGGCCACTGCAGCGTCTCCAAGGAGAAGGAGAAGGAGAAGCAGGAAGCAGGAGTCACGGCAGGAAGCAGCCGGGGACGAGCGTGCCGACGCCGCGAGGGGCGAGGGGCAGAGGGGCCCTGCTGTCCCGGGGGGCAGCCCCCTGCCCGCGGTGAACGGCCGGAGTCCCGGGGACCGCGCAGGTGTGCATCGGGGAGGGGTGCCCGGGAGGGGCGGAGGCGAACGCGGTGCCCGAGCGACTTAATCAGCAGCTCCCCGTCAGGCCCGGAGGGGCTCGCTTCGCACCTCCTCCGAAGCATCCCGTGAGCAGGTTCTGGAAGGGAGCTGCGGACAAAGTGTGCGCGGTCGTTTCCCCGGTGCTGTCTTCAAGTGCGTGTGCATGCTTGTCCGGCAGGCCGGGAGCAGACTCCTCTCGCGTCCTGGAGCAGGGAGCAGGGGTCCGACGTGGTCCGGGAGCTGCTCAGACACGCATCTGATCGAGCTTACGGGAAGGAAGGTACGGTCGTGCAGGGTGTGTGTGGTCGTGGGGGCGCGGGTCCCTCCCGGGGGTCTCGGCGGGAAAGATGGGGACAGGATCTAACACTATGGTCCTCCCTGGCCCTCACAGCCACTGCACCAGGGTCAGGAAGATGTCCATGTGGGTGGCTTTCCTCTGCAGAATGATCCAGAACAACTTCTCCCTGGGCCCAGGGCAGGGGAGAGAGCAGCCTGTGCAGCTCTGGGTGGGCAGGGCGTGGTGGGGGAGGGGACCGAGACCCTGGGGCAGCCCTCATGCGTGAGTGCCCACTTGGGCATTATATTTTTATAATTCAGACTGGGAGGGAACATGGGGTCTGTTTCTCAGGTGAGGGTGGGGGTTCAAAGAACTAAACCTTGGCTTGTGATACGGAATTCCCAATGCTCACTTTGAAGTGACGGGAGTCACGGACTGTCCCATGCACCGGAGGTCCCTGCGTCCTTCCCCTTTATTTCTCTGCACATCCATGTTTACTAAAAGGTGGCACTCGAGAATTGTAACTAATTGGTGTGGCCGGGAACCCCCAGAGCTGCTGACGCCCGTGTGTGTGTTGTAGTTTTGACGTGGGACGGAGAAGTGTCGGCTGTCAGTCAGGATGCTGTTCGGGACAGCGTAGTGGCCCACAGCACCACCGTGCTTGACGATTGGGACGACGAGTTCGATCGTGGGAAGGTAAGCTGTGGGGCCCACGCCATGCTGCGCGGCCAGCTGGGGGCCAGGTCGGGAGGACTCGACCTCTCTGGGCAATCTGAGGTGGCAGCAGCATTGTAAAGTGGCCGGGGCCCAGACTGCAGCCAGTCACCTGGTTCAGGTGCTGCTCGGCCACTGTAAATGTCGTGTTGCTGCCGGCAAGGCAGTGGCCCCCCAGTGGCTTCTGTTCCTGCAGCAGTGACGTGGGGACGTGGGGACCTCCACAGGCTGCGTGAGCAGTGAATCTGTGGGTTCTGTAGAGCACGGAGGGTCGTGCCCACACGTGGGACCAGGGGGCCCTTTTTGGGAATTGTGACACCTGTGATTCTTGACATAGGAAAAGAAAATTAAAAAGTTTAAGAGAGAAAAGAAAAGAAACTTCAACGCCTTCCAGAAACTTCAGAGTAGACGGAACTTTTGGTCTGTGACTCATCCAGCCAAGGCCGCCAGCCTCAGCTACCGCCGCTGAGTCCCTGCCATCGAGCTAGGTTGGTTTGGAGTGAGTGAGTGTCATGCATGTGTGAGAGTGTCACGTGAGTATCTGGAGTGTGTGGAGTGTGTGCAGTGTATGGTGTCGTGTGGTGTGTCAGTGTCTGAAGTGTCTGATGTACGATGTGGAGTGTGAGATGTGTGTGTGGTGTATATGTGGAGTGTATGATGTGGAGTGTGTGTGTGTGTGGTGTGTATGTGGAGTGTGTGGAGTGTATGAGGTGGAGTGTGTGTGTGTGTCTGGTATGTGTGGAGTGTGAGGTGTGTGTGGTGTATGTGTGGAGTGTGAGGTGTGTGTGTGTCTGGTGTATGATGTGGAGTGTGAGGTCTGTATGTGGTGTATATGTGGAGTGTGAGGTGTGTGTGGTATATATGGAGTGTGTGTGTGTGTCTGGTGTATGATGAGTGTGTGTGTGGTGTATGATGTGGAGTGTGTGTGTGTGTGGTATATGTGGAGTGTGTGGTGTATGATGAGTGTGTGTGTGTGTGGTGTATGATGTGGAGTGTGAGATGTGTGTGTGGTGTATATGTGGAGTGTGTGGTGTATATGTGGAGTGTGATGTCGAGTGTGTGGAGTTAATATATATGGAGTGTGTGTGTATCTGGTGTATGATGTGGAGTGTGAGGTGTGTGTGGTGTATATGTGGAGTGTGTGGTGTATATGTCGAGTGTGTGGAGTGTATGAGGTGGAGTGTGAGGTGTGTGGTATATATGGAGTATGTGTGTGTGTCTGGTGTATGATGAGTGTGTATGTCCGGTGTATGATGAATGTGTGTGTGGTGTATATGTCGAGTGTGTGGAGTGTATGAGGTGGAGTGTGAGGTGTGTGGTATATATGGAGTGTGTGTGTGTGGTGTATATGTGGAGTGTGTGGAGTGTGAGGTGTGTGTATGTCTGATGCATGATAAGTGTGTATGTGTGTGTGTGTGAACAAGGTGCTGGGTGTGCGGGGGGTGTGGGGTGTGGAGTACGCGCATGGCGGTCACTTGCAGAGAGGACCGTGCTGCCCCAGCTCCTCTGTGTCCCCCGCCCTTGGTGCCGGCCGTACCCCAGAGGGTGGCGCTGGGACTCTCGAGGCCTCTTCACTGTCTGGTACACTGTCATTTGCCCCACAGCCTCCTGGAGACGTGGCGTCCCTCCCTGGGGACTGTCCGGCTGGCCTGAAGAGCAGCCTCGCTGTGGACTCGCTCGCTCCGTCACCTCCAGGACCCGTGCCGTGAGCCACCGTGGGAAGACCACCGGCCGAGGCTCCGGCACGCGTGGACTAGGAGCTCTGGTGACACAGCTCAGTGGCGTCAGAGCGGGAGGCTGGCGGTGGCGTCTGGCCGGGGGGGGACGGCACCGCGCCTCCCCGCGTGTCCTCCAGTGCCCTGAGGACGGCGTGTGCGGCCGGCTGCTCTTGCAAAACCGTCCGCCACTGGCTCCCGGTGGCCGGGTTGTGTCTGCCCTGCCCCTCCCTGTCCCCACGGGCAGGGCTCTGTATGCCTTACCTGTCTGCCCTCCGTGAGAGCCCCAGGCCGCCCCTTCCCGGGATCGGGGTGGCCCTGCCAGCGCTTCTCTCCCGTGAGAAACCGGATGTCTCTGGAGAGCAGGTGGCTCCCTGGGGCGGGGTAGAGGCTCGAACTGCCGTGCGACGCGCCAGCTCTAGAGGCTGCCACGCACTCTGAGGGGGCTCCCCCGAACCTGGCCCCGCAGCTGCAGCGACCGGGGGTCTTTATCTCAGCGGTGGTCTTGGGGTAGAGCCTTCCTCTCATTCTGCTTCACATAAACCATAGGTTTCTGACCAGGCCTGCGGCTTCCATTAGCAACGCGTTCCCTGTCCTTGATACGCACATACTGGCTTCGTTTGCTCCTTTTTGTGAGTGCTTTTGAATTTAGATGACTGTATAACCCGAGAAGATAACTTTTTTATCTTGCTCAAGCTGTGCCTACGAACTTGTAATTTAATAATTATGGGGAATCTTCAGTTAAGGTGATATTTTCCAGGGAAAAAAACGACCCCCACAACAGAAGGTTTAGAAGTAAATCTGAAAATTATTCTTCCCAGGATGCCTCCGCTTCCTTCCTCTGTGCACGTCACACGTGGGGGTGGACCAAGGTCTGCGTGGACCTGTCCACAGAGTGGCTCTTGGCCCGAGGCCGCTGACGCCTGCTGGCACCCTGTGCCCCTTGCCTGCGCCTCCCCGACGGTCGCTCTGGGGTCTCGGGTGCCCCTGGCGGTGTCGGACAAAGCCCTGGGTTTTCTGTATGGGGAGATGTGTCCATTTCTTCACGTGGGTACTTCTTTTCAGGTTTTCTTCCCATTTTTATTTTTATCATTCAAAAGTGTCTGCCTGCGGCCCGCACGGTCTGCTCCTGGCCCCGCGCTGGGCGGGGAGCCTCTGCCGACGCTCCCGCCTCATTTCCGCGTGCCACCCACACGTGCGCAGAGATGCAGGGTCCACCCCAGGGCTCTGGCTCGTCATTCGTCACCTGCTGAGGGAAGGCAGGTGACTGTGGGCACGGGTTTCCCCTTTCGAGGTGATGTGTGCACGTTCTTTTGTGTACAGACTGTTTCCCTGGCCATATTTTTCTGCAACGTTCTGTGGCTGAAAAAGAAAAACTCAGTCGTCTGCTGGCAACAGGCGCTCTCTTCCCTTTCCGCCCCTCCTCTCCGCCAGCTCTGCCCCCCTCTCCTCTGCGGGGGCGTAAAACCCTTCCCAGAGGCCGCTGTGCTCCTTGGCCCCTGGGCGGGGCTGAGCCGCCGGGACTTTGCTGCACGTTTGCCCGCCTTTTTGTGTCTCGCCTGTGTCTTGGTTCCTTTTCCTCTGGATTTTTAAAAGGTGCATCCTAACCCCCAGACTTTTCCCGGTTTCAATGAGAGGGGGGTCCTCGTGCACCCCCAGGTGAGGGCGGGGTGCCGGCCGCAGGCCCTCCTCGAGAGTATGAGGGGACAAAGACTCGTTGGAGCGCGCTCATAGACACATCCGCTTAAGCTAGGACGGGACTCGGATGGGTGACCGTCAGCCAGGGCTGTCGAGGACACAGCAGTGAGACCTTTCCACTGCGGGGGTGGTTTGAATTTTCTTCCACTGAAAAAGGTTTGGATTTTTGCAGGGGACGGTGAGGGAGGAAGAGTAGGATTTAGGACACTGAGAGGTCCTGTCACGGTGTGGCTCCTGCCAGCCCCACGTGTGCAGGTCGGTGCCCGCCACCCCGCCCGGCCGGCGGACAGCCCACTGCCTCGGCCACAGGGCAGAGGGCGTGGGAGCGAGACCTGCTTTTTGCACTCTCTAGAATTCACTGTCCGTACAGGAATGTAACTTGGGCTCCCGCGGAAATCGTGGGGCAGGGCTGTCAGGTGCTGAGCCAGGGAGACCACATGCCCTGGAGGTTGGGTGAGGCCAAGAGGAGCAGCAGGTCCCTGCAGAGATGCCCACGGCCGATTTGGCAAGGGCAGCACCTGTGAGTGGGTGATGGAGAAACGCAGAGACGGGTTCCAGGTAGTGACCTCTGTGCCTGAAGAAGGCTGGCAGCTCTGCCTCCCGGACCTCCTCCCTCCCCTCAGTGACTCCCCAGAGCTCTCCACGCAGATGCCCCTCAAACACAGGGTCTCGGTCCTGGGCGCCGTGGGGGTTTGGCCAGACAGCTCGAGGACGGCCAAGTAAGAACCGGTGAGGTGAGCCAGCACCGATCCAGACCAGAGCGGGTGCGCAGCAGGGTGGCAGAGAGGCTGGGGTGACCACAGCTCGGAGGCCTGTCTGCCCAGCCACGTTCATGTCCAAAGTCTCTGAATCACAGGCCAGGCAGTGTTGGGGTGGGGTCTGAGACCAGGTGGGGTCTGAGCCCAGGTGGGGTGCGGACACACCACAGCTCGGCACGGCTGCCCTCCAGCAAGACCATAGCTTTTTCATTGTCGTCACTGTTTCCCAAACTGGTGGTACTGGGTAAAGATGAACAAAGCCAAACTCCTCACAGGCAGCAGGTGGCGTCAAGGGCAGGACTGAGCTCTGGGTGGGATCCAGGAGGAACGTGGGGCTTGGGGTGGGGTGGGGGTAAGGTGATGCTCCCAGCAGCGTCTCGAAGGCAAATAGGTTCCCACCAGGCTCGTGACTAACCCCGTCCGCTGCCAGCATGAAAGCGCAGGGTACCAATGGGCCGATAACTCGGCCTGAAGCGCGTCTTGCCAGCCACGTGTCTTGAGAGTTACAGTGAGCTCCTGCGTCGTTTTCCGTGCAGGTACGCAAGGCCTGTTTGCTTTCAGACACCTGAGGCTGATGGCAGTGGGCGTGAAGGCCTGGGAGGTGGCGGTGGGGTAGAGAAGCCGGGCAAGGGTGACCAGTGCAACAGGACGGCCCAGAAGTGCTCAAGGCTGGAGCGGGGACCTGGCAGTAGCAGTGGAGGCAAAGAGGTGGGGTCGCTGGGCTATTTGGAGTTAGAATCAGGAGGAGAGTGGACGGGTAAGACAGTTATGGCTTGGGCAGTAGTTGGGTGGTGGGGCCAAGTAATACCAGAGGCAGGTGCCTGGTCCTTGGTGTCAGCCGGGTCTGTAGGCGGGTGACAGATTCTGTGGCAGTAATGCAGCCGCGCCTGAGATGTCTGCGTGTTATCAGAACTGGGACCAGCAGAGGGGGCATTGCAGGGATGAGGAGCGGACTGACCTGGAGCTCTGAGTTTCGATTGGGAAAAAGTCCAGCTGTCTGGACACCCAGAGAGCCAGCTGGGCCCGATGTCAGGGTCACCGTGAAAGTGCGCGTGGTAGGCCGCCGGACCACTCACTGGCTGCCCATCTCCGTTGTCCTTTGAGATGGGGCCCGGTCCTCAGCCCCTCACCCCACCCCGTTCCCAGCAGCTGTCATTCCAAGCTCCTAATGACGTCTAATCCCTCCCACTCCAATAAAACAACAAAACACGTGAAAAACAGAACCGAAACACTTCTCTCCATCTCCACTGGTCCTCTCCTGTCAGCCAGCGGTCCCCACGCCCCTGAAGTGGCGGGGTCACCTGGGAGGTGACCTAGCACGAGCGAAGTCGGAACTCGGGGTGAGGCTCAGGCCTTCAAAACCTCCCTGAGTGAGTACGGGGCAGCAGCACTCAGAGCTGTCCCAGCCCAGGTCTCAGGTCCCAGCGAGCTACGGAATCACCAGGGGGTCATTAGAGCACAGGCGGTGGGCCCATCCCCTGACGGGCTGATTCAGCAGGTCTGGGGCGCCTGAGAATGTGCATTTCTAACACATTTTCAGGGAGAAGATCCTGCTGCTGGCAGAGACCATGCTGGGAGACCCACTGTTCTGGTCTGATGGCTCTCATGGGGAATAGTCGGTGGGGGTGGGGTCGGGGTCATTAATCATGTAGATTGTTACCCATACTGGTGTGGAGGCCTTCACTGCAGGCCTGCAAAGGGCTGCTAGCCCCACCTGTGCTCGGCCAGCCTCAGCTGTCCATGGGGAACCTCGCCCCAGTAACCATCCTACCTGCCAC